ACAAAAAAAATATTTTTTTTCACCCCCTTCCTCTTCCTCTTCCTCTTCCTCCGTCTCCTCCAGGAAGCCGCAGGTGGAGGCAAAGCGGGAGAAGGAGCCCAAGAAGCCGGTCATCAAGAAACCCCTGAACGCCTTCATGCTCTACATGAAGGAGATGAGGGCGAAGGTCATCGCCGAGTGCACGTTAAAGGAGAGCGCCGCCATCAATCAGATTCTGGGGCGAAGGGTGAGGGATGCACACAACGAAACGCACAATGAAATGCAGACTAATCCTGTTTCCAGGTCAGTCTGTAATTTCACACATGAGGAACATGAGAGGATGGTAGTAACGTGAACTCTGGTGCCCTCACACGCTGCTGCTCCTGAGATGATAAAACACCGGGCCTGTTTTTCTTTTATCTAACAACACACATCTTATAAGTGACTTTTGAATCACTTGTGAGATTTTAAATGATTATTCATGCATTTTGTGTAATTTCCACTCAGTCTTGCACAAATACAGTGCACTAATATGTATTTTACTAGCAGCCATTTTGTTTTGTTCATTGCTGAGCAAATGGAAATACTAACAGTTTGTCTGTTGTGTCTAGTGGCATGCACTGACCCGGGAGGAGCAGGCCAAGTACTACGAGTTGGCCAGAAAGGAAAGACAACTGCACATGCAGCTCTACCCGACCTGGTCCGCTAGAGACAACTACGTAAGCACATTCTCCTCATATTCCTCCTCCTTCCTCGTCCTCCTCCACACTGACTGTCACCCGTTTGTCATGAAACTCCTGAGCGGGTTCAAAATGTTGATAGATAGTTTGCCTGAGCTGATTGACAGCATATATATATGTATATATACATACATATATATATAACCAGGAAAATGTAAAATATTTTGTACTTTGTTACGCAAAATTGGGAAAAGGTCACAAGTTTGAAGTCTGGGCTGTGGTGGGAACTATCTGTAGATCTCAGCAGTAAAGAAGTTATTTGTTTACTGTGTTTACATTGAGCTTGTAGCAACGAGAAATATAAATATAGAGTAGAATAGTTTAACTTTTTTATAGAAATGATTTAGTGTTGTTAGTTATGTTTTACTACATTATCTTACAATAGCTCCTTGCAGAACGTGTGTTTGCATGTGTTTATTGTCATTCATCAGTGTAAAACCATTAAATAATAAACATCACCTAAACTTACATGTAGTACACGTAAAGAATATCATTTTCCATTTATCACTGCAGTTTACAGTAAACATGTTGAACACAGCTCCACAAATGCTCTTAAAAAACAAAAGGAAATGTCCCTTTAAAATAATTTAATGCATACAATAAACTACAGTACTTGTGTTGCAAATTGATTTTTTTTTTATTTAATTTCTACTTAGATTCTTATACTCCTGATTTTCCAAATATTTTTTGGTAATTTTACAATACATTAAAACAAATATAACTTCAAAATAGAAATGGGAAATAAAGAAGAGCGATTTCTACTTTGATAAGTTATTAAATCATACAGTATTTCTCACATTAGTAGCAACATGTGTCATCAGATTAAGAATTAGACTTTAGACAGTTCCTGTAAGCAGAACGCTGCACATTATAAAATGCAAACATTTGTAAGAATTACAGAACAGTTGATGAACTAAAAACCAAAAACAGTTCCAGCCACAGAACTTCTTTGCTCCCCGGTATGATTCCCTATGAATAAATTCAAGGTGAAAATCAGAGCAGGGTCAGTTCGTTAAATCAAAACTGGGTGAAAAAGGGTTTGACCTTTTTTTTTTTTTTTTTTTTTTTACACATCAGAGCTGAAGAAATACTGACTTACTGGCTACTGTGTCAACAAGCGACATAATTACTGGGTCCCTGACGGTCAAATGTTCTGCAGTGTTAGGACAGATAAACCTGTGTGGTGCATGCGTTTTAGTCCAATGTTTGGGGGGATGTGCTGGATCTGGGCTGCTGTGTGCCTCTGACTTCTCAGTTTGCTGTTGAACTCTTGCAGGAGGCGGGCCTTAGCGGGGTCGCAGGGGAAAAGAGTAAAGCTGATTGGGTAGGGACACGTCTTACGGTGGATTTATACCTCTGTGGTGGAAAAAATGAGTCTGTGAAGAGCTGCATGAAAGGGGGTTGTGGGTATTCCTGTGCAAAGTTTGCATGCACCTTACAAAAATCTTAGTGAGTCACATCAGCACATTCAGCCTCACAAACAACACGTACGCCACAGCAGTCGCAGATCAGATTAGCTTTTTCTTTTTTTTTTTACATTTTCCTAAGTCTTGCACTTTGCCACAGTTATAACTGCTAGTCTAATAACCCATGAAGTCACACAGAGGTATAAATCAGCCCATTTTGCTCAACTAACAGAGAGCAGGGCCGCATGGCTGGCCTCGCTGCCTTAGTTTATCTATTGATCTGTTTATTGGGCACCCTTTAACCCTCTGAACACCAAGCAGTTTCTTTGTCGCTCCTGTCACATTTTAACTCACTGTAGGCTCATTTTTCACTGCAATATAAAGTTTTGCACCTCGAAGAAAACAGCACAGCCGTGGATAGAAGGAGAGCGAGCGCAAAAATGTCTTTTGTGCAGTGTCGCAATGTAGTAAGGTTATAAATCATGAAAATGCAAAAATGGATTTCCTTTTGATTATTCAGTTACAACAATTTGGGAAAACCTGGAATCAACATGTGCAACATTTTTACAAGTGCACACAGGTTCTACCAAAACTGGAAAAAAAAAAAAAAAAAACAATGACTCTGCATACTAACGATATGTTCCTGTTTTGTTTCCATGAACACATCCTGCAGTTCCGCCTACTTTAGTCAAAATACCCTGAATTTTTCTCATGTAACCGTTAGTTACCGCTGAGTCACAAATAGCTCTCCAGTTGCGCCGAGTTCGTACTTTTAAACACAATCTGGTTTGAGTTGACATAACTTTCTTTTTTCTTTTAATTACTTTAATATAAAGTGTTTTTAATGAAATGTTATGATTCGAGGCTTCCTGACAGAACAACACATCACAGATGAATAGTCAAGAGCCATCCAACGTTATAAAATCCAGCAATTATTTCTGTTTGTACAGTTTGTGGCTCAATAAAAGGTTAAATATTTGTGATTTTTTTCTCTTTTTAAAATTTTTTTATTTCAAGACATTATGCCTTTCAAAGCCACCAGCAGGTTTTGGGGTTCAGAGGGTTAAAATACGGCACCTTTATTTTTGTAGTTGTTTATCAAGACAACTATCGCATTTGGTGTGGAGGTACTGAAACTCGACCGTTTCATGCTGCCCAGAAGATCCTGCATTAATGTGGTAAAAGAATCCTGATCAGGCTGCTGTTCAGTCTCGTTAGACTCATGTTAGAGCGATAACCTGTTTACGCTTTCCTCTGCTGCACTGTCTCGCTTCTGTTTGTGTGACTGAGCTGAACTCTGTAGACAGGCAGGCATGGCAAATGAGTTATGGTGACACTTTATTCAGACTGTGGGTTATAACATGTTCCTAACAATATCAATTCAGTGCAATTTTTCACCCCGTTCTTAACGCTGTAGTTGACAGAACACGACGAGACGATGCGAGTTAAGGGCCAGAAATGTCCCAACTCTTCCCAAAGAGCTTTACTTTTAAGCTCACTTTTCAAAATCACTCTCATGATGTTGTGAATATGTTATAAACCTGAGCTCTAGTAAATTGTAATCATAGGTTTAGGAGCTATTCCTGTGTGCATGGAGCTTCACTAAGCAGCTCAGGAAGTCATGACACTGATAATGCTGTTTGATTGGTTCGTATGGACGAGTGTCATGACTCTGAGCCCTGTCATGACTCTTACTGACAGGTGTAGTGTTCAGTTTTAGAGTGTTTAACTCTGCTGGTATACCTCTACGATGTATGTCACCAAATGTAACCATATTCTGATAATTAACCCAATGATTTATGCTTAAATGCCCTTAAAACGACCACAAACTGCAATAGTTCAGCAGCAGCCGCAAAAGTCCATCACCTGAACTGCACGAGCGTAAAGAAACCGGAAGATGTAACGTAAAGAACAACTTGTGTAACGCCATTTATGTGCATTGACAGCTGCAAGGGCCGGGCTTGAAACATTGTCTGTAGCATTACAAGAAACCCCATCACCCCTTCTCGCTCTCCTCCACTGGACCCGCTAACAAAACAGGAAGAGAAGTTCCACAACTCGCCCCCGCACCTGTGGAGGGTTTCTCCTCCAAGTCACTAAAAAAGACCTCCATACAAACGACAACACACACAGACACATACGCCCGCATATGAAAGAGCTTCAGAGAGGTGCAGTTGCAAGAGGAGTTGTTGTAAAACCACATAGACAGTGCTGACAGCGAGCCGAGGAGGGCAGACATCGAAGCGTAGGCGATAGATTTTTCTCCCCACATCCTTCATCTCACCCAAATATGAGGCCTTACTTCACCATCACCGGATCTGCGTGAACAACTCTGATGTTTACCTCAACAGTCGCACATTACAACCAGCCCAAAGACAGAGAGATACGAGCGAAAAAAAAAAAAAAAGAAAACACGACTTTTAGACCTGCGGTGAACACAAGTTTTGCAGCAGTTATTGTTTGGGGAGGACACACATGAGGTTCTGCATGAATAGTTTAGCGACTCTAGTAATGCAATGTACTTTCTTCTTTCACTTTCTTGCTTTTTTTTCTTGCTTTTTTTTTTTTTAAAGCATTAAATACGGTTGCTTGACTTGGTTGCTGGTGGTTGCTTTTTGACTTTTCACACTTTAATTTAAAATGAATTTATGTGTTACATATGAAAGCTCAGATTTCATAGATGTCTGTTGATAAAGAATACAGTTGTGCCAAACAAACACAACAGCTGCACCCGCAATGTCACATTAACTTTACAAATGATGGCATGTAATTAATCTGAGTATATTATGCTGCTTGAGACCAACCGGATTATCTGGATATATCAGTGAAAAAGTCTGCAAATCTTTTCAAGCTGGTGGTGAATTTCTAGCAGTGTAGTTATTTTAACAGCTGAGCCAGACTCATTTCAATCGGGGGATTTGTTTGTTTGTTTTCTCCCACAGGGCAAGAAGAAGAGAAGAAAAAGGGAGAAGCAGCAGGACTCCAACACAGGTAAACATATAAATATCTTCCCTCGTTCTTGTCTGACAGGTGCCACAATTCAGCGTAAGAAAACAAAATGACCAGCGTCAACTCTCCTGCATTTCAAAGAATTCAGTCGAGCTTGAACTTGCGTTGGCGCTCTGTAGCGTCTTGGTGCCTTTGAGGCAGGATGTGTCTCTAACGTCAAACCACCCACCCACTCTGCTTTCCATGTAACCTGAATTATGAACATTTTAATCCCAGTGTGCAAAAAAATTGTGCTGATCTTAGTTGTTCCAAGTTTGAAATGTCAGACATCATGGCAGACAGAGAAGCAAAAATAAAAAGCAGGTCACTGGCTATTTTCCCTTCTCCTGTGCCATATTGAAGCAATTCAAGTGTCCCAACTTGTAGAGGAAATCCCCAATAGATCACTTATTATATGTGACTTTGCGTGCCAACACTGCAGCAATGACTGTATTTAGCATTAGCAGGCAGCATCAAAAGTATGACAAAAAAAAAGCCCCTTTCAGAAAACCCTGCTCACTTTTCCATTAAAGTCACGGCAGCAATCTCACTACGTTAGTCACAATTCTGCATTTTTTTGCAACACGGCACAATCCTGAGCTGCATGTAGTCACCTTAACAGATGGGCATGCACAAGCCGAAGCGATTTGGTGGAAACTTTTTCCACATTTCAGCCCCAATATCGGTCGAAAAGTATCAAAAAAGAACAAAAGTTTTTAAATAACAAAACACCTTTATCATCCACTTTGCCTTACAGTTTCACGTTACTAATTGAAATACCCTTAATATTACTGTGATGAAAACAAAACAGATTAATTAGACTCACCAATAATAAATGGAATCTGGCTTTTTGACAGAATGTTACCAGGAGTTTTGTTTGTTGCTTCCAGCTGCTTAGGTTAGAGTTCATTAAATACCTGCAGCATCAAACAGCAGCAGGATCCATGAGACGCATCTGTAAAGTGAGAGAGTATTGCATATATATGCACCTGGAACAACACCAATAAATAAATTAATTAACATAATATGTAAAAATAGTTAGAAATTATCCCTGAGATGGGATCAATCAGCATCTAACAGCAAGTCACACTGTGCTATATTATTATATTATACATCACTTGAACCGTGTCAACCGTGATATATGACAAATCTTGCATGTGAGCTGTTATTGTTGAGACATGCCTGAATTAGGCCATGAGGAACATTCATTTAAAAGTGACCTATAGCTGAATGACACAGACTATTGAAGCCAGCACTGTTACGTATCCCATGTCTGAAAAGGGCTTAAAAATGTAGAATAGCTCTGAAGCTACATTATGCACATTATAAAGAGGGATGTGGATATTTGGATTCATCTGGTAGACGAGCAGAGGAAGAAAGAGCCACTAATGGTTTGAATATTTACAAATGACTGTGCAGCTGATTTAAAAGCACTACAGAATAGGAATCAATCACAAAACATCAGCCTCAAGCAGAGAAGTATTTTTCTGGATTTCATGAGAGTTGACATCTTGACTTAAAGCAGTTCATGACCTTTAACAGAGTGTCACAGCACGGCTGCCTTCTCTCTCCGTCTCCCTCTGTATGTCTGGACTTGTTGCTGTGTGTGTGTTTGGTGGTTATCCTGCTGGTTGTCGCATTGTGCCGTAACCATCTACTAACAGTTTTGGTGCTTTTCTTCCTGCCCTCTGATGAGCTCTTGTTTCTCTCCTCTGCTGTCCTCGTGTCTCTCTGCCTGAGTCCTCACCCTCTAACCTGTTTCCTCTGCTCCTCTCTTTGTTTTTTTTCTGCTTCTCCTCCCTCCTGTTTTGTGCATGCTGTGCGTTGTGCTCAGACCCGGGCTCTCCTAAGAAATGCCGGGCTCGCTTCGGCCTCAACCAACAAACGGACTGGTGCGGTCCTTGCAGGTGTGTACCGAACATCCACCCACTCCACAGCGCCGCCCTGCTGCTGTCCAACAAACCCCCCCCCATCTCTCCTTCCACATTTAACCATCTGCTCACCGAGTGCATCTGTCTGATGCACTCAGTCATTTCTCAGAGGCTGAGCTGCCCTGGAGGTAGTTGTTCAAATCTGAATCGGATCACCTTTTTGTTTGACTATTTAATAAAGTTACTAAGCTCCGCCCACCTGCCTCTGGACAAGCTCCGCCTCTAAAAAATGTATGAGCTCTGCATGCTGTCTGTCACTAACCTGCTGCTCTGCAAGTCGAAGCCATAAAGACGTGGTTAAATAGCGACAGAAAACAACTTTAAGGGGAAAACATGGAAATTAGTGATGCAGATTAAAGATGTCTCATCAGGTACAATCAATTCCAACAGAGACACATTTTCCTAAATGAAAGAAATGATGAAAAACAAAACCTACACCTGCCATACAGTCTTCCAATTCACTCCTTTAAGCCAGTAAATTATAAACGGGATGCATTTAATTATGAACTAATTTACTTATTACCAAAACCTCCCGTGCTCCTGCTCCATCGTTCCTTTTTTCAGCGATGACGTCTCGGCTTTCAGATCAAAAGGTAGTTTAGGTTCAGTGCTGCTGTTTTACTGTGACGCACAATTACATCCTGTTAAGTTGATATTGTTAACGGGGAATTACCACTCAATAAAAAAAAGAGCAGTTAGCTGGTAGACATACCTACACCCATGTTTCTCTGAATTATACTCCTCTTACTTTGTTAGATGCAGCAGAGTTTGTGCAGCTGTCCAATAGTATTTTCACATACTCATCACACATTTCTATCACTTTTTAGCACCCGTTTTGCAAAAGAACAAGCTTTTACATAATATTTCTACTTTTGAGGCGAAGCTTTAGTCTAATTTCGTAGCTAAAGGTTGCCAGATTAATGTCATTAGATCATGTTAGCAGCCATGTTTCTTAAACGAAGCAGGGAATTTCCCAGTTCTCCCACTGTGAGCACAGGATTAGTCTGCGCCAGGTGATATTCTCAAATGCTCCGAGTTAAAACAGGAAACTTGCTTTAATAATCAGATCCCCTGGCAAGACTGAGTTTTATTTATCTACGGCTCATTTGCAGCTGCAGCACTGATCCAAGTGCTTTTTTTTTCTTGACTCGTTTTCTTCAAAATTGCCACAGCAGTCTCAGTTTCCTTTCTTTGTAGTAAAGCAGAAAAACGGTACCAGTGCAGCGTAAATCATGAGAAGCGGGGCCTCGCCGCCACCTCCGACTGCTCCGTTTTAGTCACAGAGGGATTTACAGTAGACGGCAGACGCTGCAGGACTCAGGAATCTGTGTGGTTCTGCAGAAGAAGCTTGTAGCACCGCAGCACTGTAGCAAACCCCGTCGTCTTCCCCACCATCACGTCATGGAAATCTGAGTGTGTTTGTGTGTGTTTCGGTTTGAGAGAACAAAGGGGGCTGAATGCGGTTAGAGCAAATCCTTATCACCACAGCTCGACACACACACACACAAACTCCCTGCAGCTTTGCATTTTGACGGCGTTCTCATGCCCATCTGCTTTCAACTTTCTCTATTCATGCGATGTGGTAGCAGGCGCCGTTTGATGGTGAACTCTGACATTTAGAAATCACTTTCTATTGCACTCTTCCTCCCTCCCTCTCTCTCTAAATATGGCCTAGCGCCTTTCCTTGCGGTTAAACCTGGTGACTCATATCATATTCTGGTAATGATCATGGGATCCTGTTAACTGCTTTGATGCTGCGCTCAGCGGTACATAAGTCCGCTTTTAAGTATAACACCTCACAAAGCACAGCAGGTTGCTGCTGTTGGCCCATTAGACACATGCAGTATGTTTGGGTTGGAAAGGAAGACTAGTGGAAATGGAGTGAAAACTGAAACACTAGACGGTACAATATAATTGTTGTGCAGTAAATACTGCTTTTGCGGTTCTTGTGTTTACTCTCAACTCTATGAGGCTGTTTACATCGAGGAAGTCATTAAATAGCACTGATAGTATCAAGTTCAAAAAGACAGAGTATATTAATGAGTTGAGTGGTATTCCCTGCTCTCTAATAATAACTGATCAATACGTAAGGACATTTGCATGAACACAAATACAAACCCCCATCTATAAGTGAAAGAATTCAACATATTAGAAATTAAATGACAGAATTGATCAAATTCTTTTAGCAGAGAGACATTTAGCTTAGCATTACATGACGACTGTGAGAGGGTTAAACAGCTGGCTAACATTTTCAGTCAGTCTTTACAAATTGTAAAACAGTGTTTCTTTAAAGCAATCACATGTTGTTACCTCTGGTTAACACCATGTCCAAAAAAAAAACTAATTTGGCACAAGAGCAGGATTGTTCCATCTCAAATCATTAGATTTTTAGAGCATTTGCTGCTCAACCGTCTCTGATTTGCTTGAAAATTTAAAAGCAATAAATATGTAATTATAGAGGTATTTGTGAAATTTAAGCTTGATATATAAATTTTTTTTCTGAGAAATATTGTTTTTAAAAACTGCAGATTGACCCCACTTTCATTCTTTCAAATTTGAGGCTCTTTGTGCCTCAGATTAAAATGACCAATGAAAAATGTGCCCATATATATATATATATATATGTATATATATGTATATGTATTTTTTTTTTTTTTTCAGGTACTTTCAATATCTGCCAATATTTTAGATTTTGTGGTTTATGAAACTTTCCGGGGGTTTTTTTGTTTGTTTTTGTTTTTTTTGATCAAGCATCAATACTAAAACCTATTTTATGTGGTGTTTTGTATTATTGTGACGTGGACCTACATATAATTCAGAAAATATCACTAGTTGACTTAAGCATTATCAATTTTCCTGTTAATGTGGGCTCAAACATGGGACTTTCCATATCAGCTTCATTTTATTTATTTATTTTTCATATTTCAACTCAACCATAATCAAACACAATGTGATCTACTTGTCCAATACTGCAGATGGCATAATAAGAATTAACAGTGAAAATTTCAGGTGTTTAATAGGAGTTTATTGTTTAAACATAGCTTTTCAATGTGCAACAAAATGTGCATAAAAAGTATTTTATATATAATTACCAAAAATATCAGATACCATTTTAAATATCCAGTGTTTATGATAAGAAGAAGTTTCAAGCGAATCAGAGCCGGTCGAGTGATGATTTGAGATGGAATAATCAACCGTATTGTCATGATTTTTCAAAAACAAACTGGGTTCACGAGCACACAGCTGGATGAATGGACTTGTGTTGTTTTGAAGATGACCTCATTCATACACAGCTGCACGTAGAGCCACACTAATACTCATCTGTTGTCCATTGTGATCATTTGTGTCTCTGTTCATGTACCTCAGTGTGAATGCTGCATCTTCACTGGAGCCTGCTGACGTTTACCATCCACACTTTATTCACAGATAACTCTCTCTGACTGTTCCTAGGAGGAAAAAGAAGTGCATTCGCTACCTTCAAGGAGGAGGCTGCCCCAGCCCAACTTCTTCAGATTTAAGTGCTATAGACTCTCCCCCGTCCCCTTCCCCCGCCCATCACCACCACCACCACCACCACCACCGCCTCTACCAGCGGCCTCCCTCCCCGGGCTGCTCCCCGCCGCCCACCTCCCCCCCGACACGCCTCCCCCTGTCTCCACACACACCGCGCTCACACACGACACGCTTACCCCCGGAGCAGTCCGCCAGCAACAAGCGCGGCGACCTCCGTCAGCCCGCCGCCAAACTCGCCAACCTGGAACTGTCCAGCAGGCAGTCGCACGGCAGCTCCACGGCGCTGTCGGCCGCCAAGGCTGCAGGACTCTCTCTCAAAGTGCTATCAGAGACTCAGTGATGGTGCGTTCACGTCACCGACCCCCACACACCCCCACCCCAGCTCACCTCCGCCTCCTCTCAGAGCCATGAAGATCATCACCCGGCTGCATTCTCACTCGTAACAGCACCCCGTGGTTCTTTGGTTTGATATTTTACTGTCTGTAGTGTCTCAGTTCAGAGGCTGGATTCTACAAAGTCTGCACTTCTGCACCGGATACATCATCAACAGTCCTCGTCAACTCGTGTCTCAAGTCTGGAAATGCTCATTTCCTAGATAGGTGGTTAGTTATAATAGCTTGGCACACTGTTTACCACTCTGTCACACATGTTTTTGGCTCAGTTTTGTCTCATTTTAAAGCAAATCTGAAGGATCCAGCCCCTAAACTGGTGACTGAAAACCCTCCAGACCACACAGTCCGACTAGTACAGAGGCAAAATTAACACGGAGCCTAAGAAGAAGAAGAAGAAGAAGAAAATCTGTGGTTCTTTGGCTCCATCTGCTGCAGTTAAACTGAGCCAACGCGCCTTGTGGATAGGTCTGCCTATGAGAGTAGTTTTACAGATAACTCAGTAGCAATTTGGTGCTCCTTTTTCTCTCTTTTTTTTTTTTTTTAACAGGTAGCCCTGTGTTTCGACCTCCATGACAATCAACTGCTTTGCAAATAAGCTCTTAATGAAAAATCAGTTCAGCATCCAAAAAAACGACATACATTTTGAGAGCTGTGTACACGTTTCTGCCAAATTTAAGGGTCCATATAAACAGGAAGAGATGCTACAGTCTCTTCCTCTGTTACATATCACTGTCCATTGTCACGTACATTAGAAACCATCAAAGGGGAGCAGAGACCAACAACCGCCCGGCCTGACCAGCAGAACCTCAGATTCCAAGAGAGACTATTCAATTTTTTTATTTTTTTAGCTGGTAAACAGTCTGACTTCACTTCCATTCAGTTTTCAAACATTTATTCTTACATGTGCAGCTTCTTTGACAAAACAAACAAAAAAAAGGATTTTTTTTTTTTTTTACAGCAAACTTCAAGTTACTTCTTTTAGGCACTTTCAGGCTCTTCATCTCTGGCTTCATCAACCGTTTTTTGTTGTGTTTTCTCCTATTTTTTGATATTTTCTTTAGGTCAGATGTTTTGCTGGTGGGGAAACCCTCAGAGAAGAGCGATTTTTTTTATTTTTTTTTTTGAAAGAAAAAAAGTCTCTTGGCTGTTTTCCTTTGACTGAACTTTTTTTTTTCCGCTCCACAAACTAATCTGAGACCAAATGGGTACTATTATATTGCATTGTGTTGTAAAGTTTTATATAATAATTAAACTTTTATATGTTTTTATGTAAGAAAAAAAAAGTTAAATGACTTCAAAAAAAAGCTTGTTTTAGTTTCTACCATTTCTTAAAAGCAATACATTTTGTGTTTGTCCTATTGTGCAGAATTTTACTTTTATGTCAAGTGTTACTGCAGCAGCGTTCAAACTATATCTTGTGTTCTCAATCGGTGCATGTTCCAACTTTAATGTAACAGACATTTCGAGTAAATAAAAAAAAAGAATAAAGGCTTTAATTTACTGTTCTGCTCGCAGCTTTAAACTCTGCTTACAACTCTGTGGACAAACTGTAGGTTGAGCTTTTTGTACAGCAAATCTGTTTTCCTCCAGCAGAGAGAGCTCTTGTGCTAGAAATAGCTTCTTTTCATTTGAGGATGTTCAGGTCAGTAGCGGAAACACCTCAAACATGTCTTTTTGTATTTTTTAACGCCTCGAACGCCTCTGATGTATTACTTGTGTTTTTGTTTGATGTAATAAAGTGTTTTGAATATCTCGTCCTCGTCTACTGGAGCTGTAAAATTAGCACAAGATGTCAAAAATGAGCAAATTGGCAGGAAAAAAAAAAAAAAACGCTCCACAGCAGCTGGAAGCGTCAGCACAAAAATAACAGACAGCATCCATTTAATAGGTTTTATTCAATCCTTCAGTATGTTTGATCATCCCAAAAATCAGCATCAGAGCTCATCTGAGAAAAGCTTCCTATTCAATACAACATGAATTAGGAATGAGTTAACCAATGCTGTGTGACAACACACAAGTACTTCGAGTCCAAGGAACATTATGCAAAAAAAAAAAGTCTACCTCAAACTTCACTTTTCCTATAAATCGCTCCTCTTAACATGGTTTCACAAAACGGATACATTTACAAAGCAAAAATAAGATATTCACCCTTGCATTTCCATTGTCAAAAAAGCCATTTTATTTATTCAATTAACCTAGGAGAAAACAAACATGTCCAGTAAAAAAAAAAAAAAAAAAACAACTAGAGCGATTAATAACTGGGAAAATCTGAAAGGACTGTCTTCAAATCTTTAAGGGTACAAAGCCATGAAACCAGGACTATTTATTTTTATGTCAATACACAACAGGAGTGTGTGTGTGTGTGTGTGGAAACAGAAATGAGCTTAGTTTTAAATTAATGACACCACACAGGCAAGTTAAAATGGTCATGCTATTATTGGTATACAGAACTTAGGGGACAGTGGGGGGGAGGGGGAGGGGGGGGCATGTGGCTCTAAATATACTAAATGTAAATATTAACAAGTATGAACAAACGCCAGTGCAACCAGTTAGCAGGGACAATCCTTTTCAGTGTGGTAGTGTTGGCAGGATCTTCCCCTTTACTTCTCTTCACACCACTGGTTCTCTTTGCGTACCTGCGGACGAGACGAGATACGAATGAGTTTCCAAAGAGGATGCGAGCATCCTTTTCCTAGTGACGTGTTAACTTCTCCAAAACTTGAACAAGATGTTTATTTTCCGGCAGAATAACTACCTGGGCTTCCTCCTCCTCTGTGAAATCATTTTTGATGTTGAAAGTCTTCCTGATCTCCTCCGGGGTTTTGCCTTTGATCATGTTGGCCACTGTCTTGCAGGTGACATCTAACAGGCCTTTGATGTCCAAATAGTTGGCGGCCTGAACAGAAAGAACAACAGTGACATGGAGGGGGGCGGCGGTGAGAAACAGAGCGCTAGGACTGACTGGCACCTTTAGCAACACAGAGGAATATTAACATTCATTTTAGGGACTCTGAATAACATAAACAAGGAGCTGTGATAGTGTCGCAGAGTTCTTTTAGGGACAGCCAAAGTAAGGAAATTAGACCCCAACACTGGTAGACCACTACAACACCACACAGCTGTTAAAGTAACACACAAGAATTTTATGTCTCTGGAAAGCTATAAAGACAATATTTTTTTGTAGTTAAAAGAAAGGCATTATCCATGTTACATCATAAAGTACCAGGAAGGTGCACTTGCATGTATTTGACTGACAAGCACAAGCTCTGTGGCAGATATTAGGCCAGATTCAAATTGTTTGTCATGTGACTGTTGCCTGCAACAACACAGCAAACACAGTGCTGCTGTTTGCATCAACAGTCACAAGAAATGACAATGTCCATCATTTAATTCAACACACACGTACAACTTTAAACTCAACTCGATCAGAGACAGTAAGCCTGAAACATGCTACTTCATATTTATAGACTTAATTCCAATTCCGAGATCATCTGCATCATCTTTTTCCAAAACAAACGTTGTCCAAAATATGACAACAATAGACCTTAAGTTGTTGACCGTACATGAAGAGTTGCATTTAATAGAGCACTGCCTTAAACTTCTGAACCCCAAAACACAACAAAACAAAAATTCAAGGGTGTTTTAGGGTGTTTTCCCCCCAATATTAGTAACACCTGTAGGCACTTAAAAAATGTCAGATTTTCTATTTTTTTGGGAAAATAAGTAATCACAGAAAATCTACTTTTGGTTTCATGATTCATGGCACTATAACTTCGCTATACTGCACAAAGGATACTTTTACTTTCTCTCTACTTCTGGCCATGGTTCTGTTGTTTCCATAGAGATGCAGGATTTTACATTGCAAGGAAAAATAAATCCACGGTGAGTAAAATGTGACAAAAAAATGCCCAAAAATGGCTTGTGGCTCTGAGGCTTAAACACTCACTTGATTGTTTTGCACATGTGCCCTATGTGCATACATAGACATTAACAAATATTCTTAACACTGATTTGAAACTCTCAGCTCCATGTCTGAGTGACATTTCAAAGACTTAACACAGAAAACAAAACATCAACTCCCACTGTGTTCCTGTAAACTCAGATCCTGCATCAACCAATTGACCTTTCATATGTCACTTGCTGACAAAGCCTTGTTTTCTTTTTTATGTGGCACAGGAGCATTTTCTGAGCTTCTCTGAAACCCCCATTTCTCCAGCATCCTTTAACTTTCATACAGCCAGTCCTCAATGACTGGCTGTGTGAATGTGCTTGTAAACACATTCACACAGCCAGAGGGGGGCTAATTAACTTAAGTTACTGACAGGACGACTTATGTTTCACATCCTGGAAGCACACAGATGTACCAACACCCATTTCCCAATCTCTCCTAAGCACTGCTTAGGTTACCTTTCACGTGTTGTGGCCGGTCAACCTCAAAAGCAAAACCTTTCAAATCCCTGCCTCTTTTACAGCAGTTGCCCAAACCACTAATCTTCCAGCTGTTGCTTAGCAACATTTGTCTCTGTTAACCAAATGAAACCACTCTGTGAAATAAACAAGAACACAGGAAAGAACAGTAACAGAGGAAATAGACCCTTGTGCTTCTGTACACAGTCAACAACTTGATCTTTGAATCAGGACCCCAGAGAGCCAGTTCAAGTATATGGACGATTTTAGTTTGCCGACCTAAACTAATTCTGCTACCATCAGCCACAAAACGTACATATACTGTATGTAGATTAACATTTGCTATCTGAAATGATGTGGCTTCACACTGGACTAACAGCTAACAATATCCTTTACATTATCAGAGCAGTGTCTATCTGTCAAACCAGAACTAAGAAAAGCTCTTAATATTGCTGTACTGTTCATCATACAGCTGTCCTGATCTCCACACAGCTCAGAGGCTTGTGCATTAAACTAAAATGTAGTTAAAATATAAATATATGAGATGTAAAAACAGCTAAACAGTTTTTTTTCCACAGATCAAAGACAATAATCAATATGGGGGAGATTTTAAAGTAGGCATGGTTTTTTCTTATTTGAATACCTTCAAACCACTAGTTAGGAAACACTGTCCTGCTGTGAGTGTGCACATGTCTGTGTGTTTTGTCGGGAAACAAATTTGTTCACAAATTAAAACATGTCCATTCTAAGGAAAAATCTTGTCTATATCAACATTAACCTTTTGTTTTTGATTGAAGGTGTGGGATGGGGTCTGGCATATAACAATTGTGGTTAAGGTTAGCGTCAGCCTCCAAGGAAGTAAAACTGATCAACAGATAAATATCCCATTTTGTAAAAATGTATTTACCAGAATGAGTTCAAACAAGGTGCCTTGGTCCACTTTGAGGAACTCCTGGTCCCATACAGGAATGTCATCTGTCCTCTTCTCCTTGTTCTCGTCGTCTTCAGGAGGAGGAGGGTCATCTTTGTGATGGGTGCACCACTGAATCACCTGAGGGCAAACACACACACCTTTAACAAAAGGTACAAAAATATGCATGGCATCCAACAGCATGGAATGTAAAATTGTGCACAAGGGTTTAAACACCATATTTAAAAACATACCGTCACCTCAGCTATTGCCTCATGTTCTAGTATGTCCTTAGTGCCATTTTTTTGTCTGCCTGCGTGTTTGTTTTTCTGTTTATCAGCAAGATTACACAGAAACTATCATGCCAACATTTTAGGAAATGTGGTGGGGAGATGGAGTATAGCCAAAGGAAGGCATTTTGGTGTAGATCTGCATTAGTTGGCATTGGAGTGCATTTCTAGAATTGTTTTTTTTTTTAAGAAATGTGTTACATAACTATTATGGTACATTAGGATTAATCAGCATAGGTTCAAGGTTCTCCTATAAGCAGGAGAGTCTTGTTTTATTAACTGCAGGTCTGAAATGCAAGCATGAACTTGTAGAAGGGAGAAAAAACAAACAGACCATCACATCGTTCTCCTCCCACAAATGTGATTAGTTGATTTGCTGGCAAAAACAAAAATGTCACCGGCAAGGGCAGACGGACACAAATAGCATGTGATTGATGAATAGTAAACTCTTAGATATGAGCGCGAACAATACATATAATTAAACAGTTGTAGGCCCGCTTTCGAGACTGTCATACTGTTCTGATTTAGTTAAACGTAAGATGTATTTTAGATATTTTGTTAACCCTGGAACTAATAAAACTATCGGAAGCTTGCAATTTAAAAACTGTATATACATCTGACTTGAAGTAGCATGTCAGTTCAAATCACAATTGTCCAAAAAAAAAAAACATCCCCAGCAATCAATAACTTGAAGCAGTTAAGGATTACAGTAAGACATATGGAGATGTAAAACCACGTATCTTCATTAGAATCTGTTACCAAAGTTTATCATGTTACTGCCACAAAATCTACTATTCTATACGCACAAACCTTATTAAATCTAAAATAGTAGTCGTGAACTTTGCTGTCACACCACTTCCACAAAACCCCTGTCTATTTTAGTGCACATTTGTGGCTTGGTGTGTGTTTTTATGTTCTGTACCTTCTTGAGGATGGCTGCATTGACATTCGGGAGGGGAACTGGGTCATCATCTCCTTCATCATCCATCCCCAAATCTGTCAAAGAATCAGTGACTATCATGTATCATTCTGAAGTTTTTACAACAAAACGTGCATTAATCTAAATCGAAATGCAAAAGTCTGTAATGACTTAAAAGTTCTACCTTCTAACATGGTCTTGATTGTGACAGACTGTTTGGCTATCTC